AAACAATTGAAGAAAAATAAAGAAAATAGAAAAATTTCAAGACATGAAAAATTGAAAAACTTGAAATTGAAAGAAAACTCGTGAAATTGCAAAACTAAAAATTAAAAGATTCCAACTTTTAATCGAAAAATATCGCAAAATTGAAGTAACGAAAAAAATGAAAAATTGCAAATTGAAAAAAAGTAACAAAAAATTGTAAAAATGAAGAAAATAAAAACCGAAACGAAAAACTGGGAAGCGAAAATATGAAGAAATGAAGCACTAAAAAATCAAAAAATTTTAAATCGAAAAATTGAAATACCGAGTGAAAAAAAAGTTTTAAATTCCAATAACTGTACAGTGGAAAAATTCTGAAACGGAAAAATTGAAAAAGTTGAAAAATTCAAAAATTGTAACTATAATTACATATGTATTTCAAATGAAAAGTACAAAAAATGCAAATCAAAAACTGGAAAAACCCATAAATTAAAAATTTTCACATTGAAAAAAAGGAAAAATTGTAAAATCTGAACGTTGAAAAACCGAAAAATAGAAAATATAGAAAAAATAAAAAACCGAAACAAAAAATCGCAAATTTAAAGACATGAAAAACTGAAAAACCAAAAAATGAAAAATTTTAAATTGAAAACTCGAGAAATTTTAAATCGAAAAATTGCAAAATCCTAAAAATAAAGAACAAAGAGAAAAGACGAAAAATTGAAGAAAGGAAAAATTGCCAAAATTAAAATTGCAAAAACAAAAAATTATAAAACCGAAAAATTGAAGAAAATAAAGATTGGAAAAATCGAGAAACTGAAGAAATAAAAAATTTAAAAATCGAAAGATTGAAAAATTAGAAATTGAAAACTTGGAAAATTTTAAAACGAAAACATGCAAAATCTAAAAAATGAAGAAACAAGGAAAATGAAAAATTGACAAATAGTATATCGAGAAACTGAAGAAAGGAAAAATTGACAAAATTAAAAGTGAGGAAACAAAATTATAAAATCGAAACATTTTACGATCGAGTAGTTGAAAAATAAAGAAAATAAAAAACCAAAATGAAAAATTGAGGAAACAAAAATTTATAAAATCAGAACATTGAAAAATGGAAATATTGTAAAAAGAAAGAAACGAAAAATTGCAAATCGAAAACTTGAAGACATCAAAAACTGAAGAATCGAAAAATTGTAATACCGAAATTCCAGTAATTGAAAAATTCTAAAACAGTAAAACTGAAAAAATTTAAAAAAATGCAAAAATTGTAACTATTGTTACGTATGTATTTCAAATGAAAACTAGAAAAAATGCAGATCAAAAATTGCAAACCAAAAAATGGACAAGCCCATACATTGAAAATTTTCACGCTGAAAAAAAGAAAAATCATAAAATCTGAACCTTGAATATCCGAAAAATTGAAAAGTTTTAAACTGAAAACTCGTGAAGTTGCAAATTAAAAAATTGCAAAATCTACAAACTGAAACATCAAAGGTTGGCAAATCGAAAAATTGAAAAATTTTAAAACTCGAAAAGCAGTATATCGTAAAATTGAAAATGCACGATTGCAAATCAAAAAATTGAAGAAACGAAAAATTGGAAAAATGAAGAAAATAAAAACCGAAACGAAAAATTGCGAATGAAGAACCAAGAAAAATAAAAACGAAGAATTGAAGCAAAGAAAAATCGCCAAAATTATAAAATCGAAAAACTGAAGAAAATGAAAATTGGAAAAATTGAAATTGAAGAAACAAAAAATGATAAAATCAGATCGTTAAAAATCCAAAAAATTCCAAAAAATAAATAAAAAAAGCGAAACGAAAAATTGCGAAGCGAAAATATAAAGAAATGAAGAAATGAAAAATTAAAAAATCCAAAAATTGAAAAATTAAAAGAAAAAAAGTAGAGAAATTTTAAATGGAAAAATTACAAAACCTAAAAAATGAAGAACCAAGAAAAATAAAACATTGACAAATAGCAAATGGAAAAATTGAAGAAAGGAAAAATTGGAAAAATTGACATTGAAGAAAGAAAGAATTATAAAATCGAATAGTTGAAAAATAAATAAAAAACCAAAACGAAAAAATTGCAAATTTCAAGACATGAAAAACTGAAAAACCGAAAAAATGAAAAATTCAACTTGAACACTCCAGAAATGTTAAATCGAAAATTGCAACATCTAAAAAATAAAGAATAAAGAAAAACGAAAAATTGAAGAAAGGAAAAATTGGCATAATTAAAATTGAAAAACAAAAAATGATAAAATCGAAAAATTGAAGAAAATAAAAATTGGAAAAATTGAAATTGAAGAAACAAAAAATTATAAAATCAGAACGTTCAAAATCCAAAGAATTTTAAAGATAAAGAAAACAAAAACCGAAACGAAAAATGGCAAATCGAAAATTTGAAGACAGAAATTTGAAAAACCTAAAAATTTGAAGGTCCAAAGTTTTAAGAATCGAAAAACTGAAGAACTGAAAAATGAAACTTGGAGAGTTGCATATCGTAAAATTGAAGAACCAAAAAAAAAAATAAAAAATTGCAAATTGAAAAAATTAAGAAACGAAAAATTGGAAAAATTGTAATTGAAAAAAACAAAAAATTACAAAATCCAAAAATTGTAAAAATGAAGAAAGCAAATATCGAAACGAAAAACTGCGGGCGAAAATATGAAGAAATGAAGAAATGAAAAATTAAAAAATTGAAAAATTGAAGAAAGGAGAAATTGGCTAAACTAAAATTGAAGAAACACAAAATTATAAAATCGAAACGTTTTAAAATCGAATAGTTGAAAAATAAATAAAATAAAAAACCGAAACGAATAATTGCAAATTGAAAAATTGAAGAAACGAAAAATTGGAAAAATTGGAAAAATTCAAATTGAATAAACAAAAAATGATAAAATCAGAACGTTAACAATCCAAAAAATTAAAAAAATTACGAAAACAAATATTGAAACGAAAAACTGCGAGCGAAAATATGAAGAAATGAAACATTAAAAAATCGAAAAATTGAAAAATTAAAAATTGAAAACTCGGGAAATTTTAAATCGAAAAATTGCCTAAAAAATGAAAAACCAAGGAAAATAAAAAATTGACAAATAGCAAATCGAAAAATTGAAGAAAGGAAACAAAAAATTATAAAATCGAAACGTTGAAAATCTCAGAAATTGAAACAATAAAGAAAATAAAAAACCGAAACGAAAAATTGCAACACGAAAATTTGAAGACATGAATAAATTGAAAAACTTTAAGTTGAAAGAAAACCCGTGAAATTGTAATTGGAAAATTGCAAAACCTAAGCATTTAAAGATCCAAAGTTTTCAAAATCGAAAAATATTGTAAAATTGAAGAAACAAAAAAATGAAAAATTGCGAATTGAAAAATAGAAGAAACGAAAAAATGTAATGGAAAAAAACAAAAATTATGAAATCTGAAGATTGAAAAATCCAAAAATTGTAAAAATGAAGAAAACAAAAACCGAAACGAAAAACTGCGAAGCGAAAATATGAAGAAATGAAGAACTGAAAAATTAAAAAATCCAAAAATTGAAAAATGAAAAAAAAAATTAGAGAAATTTTAAATCGAAAAATTACAAAACCTAAAAATGAAGAACCAAGAAAAATTTAACATCGACAAATAGCAAATAGAAAAATTGAAGAAAGAAAACATTGGAAAAATTTAAATTGAAGTAACAAAAAATTATAAAATCGAAACGTTTTAAAATCGAATGGTTGAAAAATAAAGAAAATAGAAAAATTTGAAGACTGGAAAAGTTGAAAAACTCTAAATTGAAAGAAAACTCGTGAAACTGCAAATCAAAAAATTGCAAAATCTACAAATTGAAACATCAAAGGTTGGAAAATCGAAAAATTGAAAAATTTTAAAACTCGAAAATTCGTAAAATTGAAAATGCAAGATTGCAAATCGAAAAATTGAAGAAACGAAAAATTGGAAAAACTGGATTTGTAAAACCAAAAATTATAAATTTCCTTGCCAAAATTTCATATTTTCTGGTCTCTTTTGAGTCATTATTTCTTTTCGAACCAAAATTTGCTTTATTTTTTATTTTTCTTTACTTCTATTGCTTCTCTTGTTCCCACCTTCAACTTTCTATGAACTTCCTTCTTTATTTTCTTACTTATTTAATCGATCACCGTTTTAGCGTCGCCGCCTCCCCAGGATCCGAAGCAGTCTCGGGCCAGACCAGGATTTCAGTTTTTTTTATGTCGAAAGTTTCTTTGACTTATCCGATAATTTGTTTGTGGACGTATATATTTGATAAATCATTCAATTACGATTACAATAATACGTACTGAAAGACAATAAAAAGACGATCTAAGACAGCTATGGATTTTTGAAAGTTTGATCATTGCATTTTCAACTCAAACTTTGACGGTAATCTGACAATACAAAAATTGTATCAAAGACATCAAAGACATTCAAAATTCCATGGCTGTCGTTGATCGTGCTTTTTTTGCTTGAACTCGGAATCTGGATGGGTGACCAGCTTGGATCGCCCGTCGGTCTGTACGGTGAGATTTAAACTTTCCATTTACGGTAAAAATAATGTAACTTAATAGGTTCTTAGTATGAAATTGAATTTTCAAAAGGATAATAATGCATATTCTAACAGAACGAATTAAGTTTCAATTTTCGTTCAAACTAGTCTCAATTCTAGTTTGCATACTCATGAACCACAACTATTGAAGCCACAGAAACCACGTTTCACGAATCTATTGCTTCCAAGTAAAATTAATTTTGCGGCTTGCCTTCACAGAAATTTACATCACGTTTATATGGGGAATCGTTGACAAGCTTTAATCGATGTCTGCCTCAATAAAGTCGGTCGGTAATTGGTGAACTTGGATAAAACTAAAGCGATTATATCAGCATGTCATAAAACTTCAACACCAATTTTGAAGTAATTGATCTAATAAGAGCACGACCGCATCTGAGAATAATTTAATAATAATCCGAGCTAGATTTTAATCCCATGGAATTCAAAACGTCACTTTTTTTCAGATGTGTCCTCGGTCTAACCATGCTCCTGCAATCTTCCGGCGACTCCGGGGCCAAGCCCCCGGACGAATCCAGGACCCCGGCCCACCCGGACTCCGATGGGACCACCACCCACATCCTGGATTACGCCCCAGCGCCAGGCTGGACCGTGCACGCGAACAATGAAGGCCGCCTCTACTACTGCAAGTGAGTAATTTTTTCTTGCGAAATAAATTAGTATCAGGGTTGATAATCAGAGCTCGAGTCGCCCGAGAGCGATTACGACGGGAATTTCTAGTTTACGGGTGTTCGGGGGAGAGACAATTTGCATTAAAGCGTTCTTATCCAGCGACAGAAATTGCATAGGCGTTTTTGTAAGTCCCGGAGGGTTGTTCCGAATCGCGCAAAAGGACAAAGATGAGGAAAAGACCGCATTTGTTTTGAGGCTTAAAGGGGGTGGCGCCGGAACTGCGAGATTAATGTAAGTGTGCAATGCGGATGTTGTGCGAAATAAGATTTTGATGGGCACGGGAGTGGTAGAAACGGGGTTAAGGGGTTGGTTTGATTAAAAGTAATGTTTGTTGATTGTGGGGTTGCGCCAGTTTGGGGTCGTTGTAGAGTGGGGAGTTTGAATTTGGCGCTTCTTGGTGCGCATGCGTTGGTGGGCGGTGCTTAGTGACGTAATTAACTGGGCGGCTGAGATCTTGTTTGGGCTCGATTTCTTGGTTTTTCTGATTTTCCAATTTTTCGAAGTTTTGATTTTTCAGTTTTTGATTTTTCTTGTTTCTTCAATACATATTTAACTTTTCAATTTTCATTTTTTAATATTTTCGATTCCCAATTTTTCGATTAAGTTTTGTGTTTGCTTCATTTTTATAATTTTTCAATGTTTCAGTGTTACGATTTTATAATTATGTATTTTTCTTACTCAATTTTAATTTTTCATTGTCTTCAATTTTCCGAATTCAAATTTTTCGATTTTTCTGATTTTTCAGTGTTCCCTTAATTAATAATTTTCCTTTTTTCAATGTAAAATTTTTCAATTTTTTGATTTTTCAATTTTTCTTTTTTTTAATTTTAGATTTTTTTGTTCCATTATTTTTCAATTTTTTGTTTCTTCAATTTCTAATTTGCAAATTTTCTAGTTTTCATTATGAATATGTAATTTTGATAATTTTTAAAAATTTTCGCTTCTTCAATTTTTTCGATTTTCAATTTTTTCGATGTTTAAATGTTCAGATTTTATCATTATTTTGTTCCCTCAATTTTAATTTTTTTAATTTTTCGAGTTTTCAATTTTCTATGTCTTCAAGTTATTTGCGCTCTTTGGTTACGGCATAGTTTTTTATTTTTTCAATTTTTCGGGTTTTCAATGTTCAGATTTTATCATTTTTCTTTTTACTTTGTCAAATTTTTCAACTTTTCATCGATTTTTTAATACTTCATTCTGCAATTTTTTTTCATTTTAAATATGTCATAATGGCAATGATATTTCAAATTTTTCAGTTTTCGATTTTACGATTTTAGAATTTTTTCTGTTTTCAACTATTTTTTCAATTGATTCTACTTTTAATTTTTGACATGGATGTTCTCTGATTTAATAATTTCTCTTTTTTTCTTCACCTACTCTTTTTTCTACTCTTTGGTTTCGGTATATTTTTCAATTTTTCGGTTTTCAATATTCTGATTTTATAATTTTTCTGTTTTCGCTGTCAAATTTTTCAATTTTTAGATTTTTCAACTTTTGGATATTTCAATTTTTTCTACAAAATCAAATTTTTCAGTTTTGAATTTTCCAATTTTTGATTTTTTCAATTGTTACATATTGCAATTTTTCGATTCGCAAGTTTTTCTTTATTTTTTCAATTTTTTGTTTCTTCAATTTTTCGATTTGCGATTTTTCAGTTTTTGATTTTTCTTGTTTCTTCATTACATATTTAGTTGTTGCAATTTTTCGACTTAAATTTCAATGTTTAACTTTTCAATTTTTCATTTTTGAATATTTTCGATTAAGTTTTGTGTTTTCTTCATTTTTATAATTTTTCAATGTTTCAGTGGTACGATTTTATAATTATGTATTTCTCTTACTCAATTTTAATTTTTCATTGTCTTCAATTTTTCGACTTCAAATTTTTCGTTTTTTCTGATTTTTCAGTGTTCCCTTAATTAATAATTTTCCTTTTTTCAATGTAAAATTTTCCAATTTTTAGATTTTTCAATTTTTCGTTTTTTCAATTTTATATTTTTTTTGTTCCATTATTTTTCAATTTTTTGTTTCTTCAATTTCTAATTTGCAAATTTTCTAGTTTTCATTATGAATATGCAATTTCGATCATTTTAAAAAATTTTTGTTTGTTCAATTTTTTCGATTTTTCGATTCGAAAGATGTTATATTTCCTTCATTTTACAATTTTTCGATGTTTAAATGTTCCGATTTTATCATTATTTTGTTTCCTCAATTTTAATTTTTTTAAATTTTTCGATTTTTCAATTTTCTATGTATTCAATTTATTTGCACTCTTTGGTTACGGTATAGTTTTTTATTTTTTCAATTTTTCGATTTTTCAATGTTCAGGTTTTAAAATTTTTCTTTTTTTCTTTGTCAAATTTTTCAACTTTTGATCGATTTTTTAACACTTCATTCTTCAATTTTTTTTCATTTTAAATGTCATAATGACAATGATATTTCAAATTTTTCAATTTTCGATTTTACGATTTTAGAATTTTTTCCATTTTCAACTATTCTTTCAATTGATTCTACTTTTAATTTTTAATTTTTCGATTCTTCACTTTTTCATTTCTTTAAATATTTGTTTCAGTTTGTTATTTTCTTCTTTATTTCAGTTATTCGCTTTTTCAATATTCCAATTTAATAATCTTTTTATTTTTTCAATTTCGATTGTTTCAGTTTTTCGTTTTAACTTTACGATTGCAAGTTTTCGAGTTTCCGTCTTTGAATTTGTCAGTTTCTCAAGTTTCCAACTTTTGAATGTTTCAATTTTCAGAGTTTGTAATTTTTCAATTTGCAGTTTCATGAATTTTCAATTTTCGATTTTTTTATTTTTTCTTTTCAATTTTTCATGTTCAATTTTCGATTTCAAATTTTTCGTTTCGCTTTTTTTCGGTTTTTGGATGTTGTCTGATTTAATAATTTTCCTTTTTTTCTTTACCTACTCAATTTATTTCTGCTCTTTGGTTTCGGTATATTTTTCAATTTTTCGATTTTTCAATGTTCAGGTTTTAAAATTTTTCTTTTTTTCTTTGTCAAATTTTTCAACTTTTGATCGATTTTTTAACACTTCATTCTTCAATTTTTTTTCATTTTAAATGTCATAATGACAATGATATTTCAAATTTTTCAATTTTCGATTTTACGATTTTAGAATTTTTTCCATTTTCAACTATTCTTTCAATTGATTCTACTTTTAATTTTTAATTTTTCGATTCTTCACTTTTTCGTTTCTTTAAATATTTGTTTCAGTTTGTTATTTTCTTCTTTATTTCAGTTTTTCGCTTTTTCAATATTCCAATTTAATAATCTTTTTATTTTTTCAATTTCGATTGTTTCAGTTTTTCGTTTTAACTTTACGATTGCAAGTTTTCGAGTTTCCGTCTTTGAATTTGTCAGTTTCTCAAGTTTCCAACTTTTGAATGTTTCAATTTTCAGAGTTTGTAATTTTTCAATTTGCAGTTTCATGAATTTTCAATTTTCGATTTTTTTATTTTTTCTTTTCAATTTTTCATGTTCAATTTTCGATTTCAAATTTTTCGTTTCGCTTTTTTTCGGTTTTTGGATGTTGTCTGATTTAATAATTTTCCTTTTTTTATTTACCTACTCAATTTATTTCTGCTCTTTGGTTTCGGTATATTTTTCAATTTTTCGGTTTTTCAATATTCTGATTTTATAATTTTTCTTTTTTCGCTGTCAAATTTTTCAATTTTTAGATTTTTCGACTTTTGGATATTTCAATTTCTTCCTCAATTTCAAATTTTTCAGTTTTGAATTTTCCAACTTTTGATTTTTTCAGTTGTTATATATTGCAATTTTTGTTTCTTCAATACATATTTAGTTTTTGGAATCTTTCGACTTATATTTCTATGTTTAACTATTCAATTTTTCATTTTTTAATATTTTCGATTCCCAATTCTTCGATTAAGTTTTATGTTTTCTTCATTTTTATAATTTTTCAATGTTTCAGTGTTACGATTTTATAATTATGTATTTTTCTTACTCAGTTTTAATTTTTCATTGTCTTCAATTTTTCGAATTAAAATTTTTCGATTTTTCTGATTTTTCAGTGTTCCTTTAATTAATAATTTTCCTTTTTTCAATGTAAAATTTTTCAATTTTTTGATTTTTCAATTATTCGTTTTTTCAATTTTAGATTTTTTTGTTCCATTATTTTTCAATTTTTTGTTTCTTCAATTTCTAATTTGCAAATTTTCTAGTTTTCATTGTGAATATGCAATTTCGATCATTTTAAAAAATTTTCGTTTGTTCAATTTTTTCGATTTTTCGATTCGAAAGATGTTATATTTCCTTCATTTTACAATTTTTCGATGTTTAAATGTTCCGATTTTATCATTATTTTGTTTCCTCAATTTTAATTTTTTAAAATTTTTCGATTTTTCAATTTTCTATGTATTCAATTTATTTGCACTCTTTGGTTACGGTATAGTTTTTTATTTTTTCAATTTTTCGATTTTTCAATGTTCAGGTTTTAAAATTTTTCTTTTTTTCTTTGTCAAATTTTTCAACTTTTGATCGATTTTTTAACACTTCATTCTTCAATTTTTTTTCATTTTAAATATGTCATAATGGCAGTTTGTTATTTTCTTCTTTATTACAGTTTTTCGCTTTTTCAATATTCCAATTTAATAATCTTTTTATTTTTTCAATTTCGATTTTTTCAATTTTTCGTTTCAACTTTACGATTGCAAGTTTTCGAGTTTCCGTCTTTGAATTTTTCAGTTTTTCAGTTTTCCAACTTTTGAATGTGTCAATTTTCAGAGTTTGTAATTTTTCAATTTTCAGTTTCACGAATTTTCAATTTTTTGATTTTTAATTTTTTGTTTTCATTTTCATGTCTCCAATTTTTCAATTTCAAATTTTTCGTTTTGCTTTTTTTTTGTTTTTTATCTGGTGTTTCAATGTTTCCTTAATTAATCATTTTTTTTTTCAATGTAAAATTTTTCAATTTTAGATT